AGGTAGGTAGGTAGGTAGGTAGGTAGGTAGGTAGGTAGGTAGGTAGATAGATAGATAGATAGATAGATAGATAGATAGATAGATAGATAGATAGATAACACGTCTGCTTTCCTATCACAGCTGACAGATTTTTATTGGGCGTTGTAAAAAACAAAATTAATAGTGACCTCAAAACTACACGCGTTTCTCTCTTTAACGACTGAATCGATGACAGCAACAGCTATCTCTTTGACGTATGTGTAGGGGAAAAAACTCCGAATAATTTTGTAATAACGATAGGTTTTGCCCTGGCGCTGTCTGTCTCTCTCCTCCATTATCTGTGGCCTTCTTTTTCCTCCATGCCAGTGGCCTTACTTGGAAGCAGGGTAGACTTGCGTCTTCAAGACAAGATTTGAAGCAGCGCTAAAGTTGCAGGTCGCGGCATAGGAGGAGTCTAGTGAAGTGAGTACCACAGGGTACTGTTGTACGTACAGCTGCAGGTTGTACACATCAGCCGATGAGTTCTGTGGGAAACCAGGAGTGTAAGGGTAGGGGAAAATACAGCGTCACATCATTGTTATAATATTTAATGTATTAAAACTATAAGTGCATTAAATTAGCTGGCTTTTTTGCGGTATATTTTAGTGTCTTCTAATAACTTCAATGAATTAAGTATTATGGAGATGATGGGAAACTGAGTACCTACTTTTGCAGCCCCCCCCCCTTTTTTTTCCTGTACATGTAACCATCATTTCGAGTGAAGGTATATGTGTATGAATGGGGCAGCCGAGTGCGAAAAGAGGGGGGGGGGGCTGTATTCACATACACATTGTTTTGGTTTGGGTTTATTGATGTTGATGGAGTTCTGTTGGAAGGTAAGGGAGAGAAGGACAGTTGGAGGGAGAGAGAATACTAATAAGGAAAAGCCAAAGACAAAGAATTTACATAGAAATTACATACATAGATGAGAAGTAGTGGGAAGAGAAAGTATGGAATAAAGAGAGAGAATAAATAATGTACTAGCGAAATTGGGAATTCAGAAGAAAAAGCGAGAAAAAAAAACTATGTAGGTGATTCATGTACCCATCGACATAATTTAGATGATTTCGAAGGTGGGTTTCAACCCAGCCTGTTAGAGCCAACCCAGTCTTAAAGATTCATTGTCCCAGCAGAAAGAGTGAAATATCCCGTATTCATTTTCGCCTAGGGGAATAGAGCTCAGGTCTTCTGTGACGATGGCAAAGCACCTAACTTCTACACCACTGACGCGCTGAGAGAGAGAGAGAGAGAGAGAGAGAGAGAGAGAGAGAGAGAGAGAGACAGAGACAGAGAGAGAGACAGAGAGAGAGACAGAGAGAGAGAGACAGACAGACAGACAGACAGACAGACAGATAGACAGACAGACAGACAGACAGACAGACAGACAGACAGACAGACA